TGCTTGGCAAGTGCAAGGTTGTGAATTTGATTACTAGTACCAAAAAAATAAAAATAAAAAAACAAGACGTATGCCTTTTCACCAGGCATGGGGGCACATGCCCATAATCTCAGCACTGGGGAGACTGGAGCAGGAGGATTGTGGTGAGTTTGAGGCCAACCAGGGTTACATAGGGAATTCAAGACCAACCTGAATTACATAGCGAGACCCTGTCTCAAAGAAAGAAAGAGAAAAAGACTCGTGCCCTTTCCCAGATATGAGTGATTTATGAGTATAGCTGCTAATCAGTTGAGGGATGATTTGTTTTGCAGTATTGGGGATCAAGCCCAGGGGCCTCACTCAATCACTAAGTTGCCTAGGCTGGACTCAAATTTGGAATCCTTCTGCCTCAGCCTTTTGAGTAGCTGATATTACAGGCATGGATCACTATTACTGGCTGATTTTTTTTTATTATTATTTTAAAGAAAGTAGTTAAAAAAAAAACAATAGCAGCATACCAACATCACAGACATAAACAAAACGAAGCAAGAACATTAAAAGTGATACAGGGTTTCAAAACAAAGTGATAGGAATTAATAGTGGTTGTTATATTACATATTGTTATCTTCAACTGCATTGCTCAGATTACCAGATGTAAGAATGGAAGATTGTGCAAAACATTAAAGAGAATTTTAAAAATTATTAAATAAAACATTAGAGATAATACAGAGTTTTCCTAGACAAGATGGTAGGAATTCATCAATGATTGTTCCATTGCATATTATTGTCTTCAAATCACTTGCTCGGATTACCAGATATAAGCATGCAAAATTGGTCAAAATATAAAAAATTTTAATCATTGAATGTTCTTTTCAATATACCATCAGACATCATCAGTACAGTTATCCCAGCTATTCATATATGTATATATATTTTGCCTGCCTTCTTTCTTTTTTCTTTCCCTCATCCCATTTCTTTACCTTTCCTATCATCTATTGTAAGTTTTGAGTTTTACTTATTCTTTCAGGTTCCTACACCAAGAAGACAATATGATGTTTACACATGTGAATCCAATTTATTTCACTTATGAGTATGGTCTCTAGTTACATCCATTTACCTACAAAAGCCTCGAGTTTATCCTTTTTATAGCTGAGTAATACTCCATTCTATAAAAATACCACATCTTTTTTATCTATTCCTCAGTAGATGGGCATCTGGGTTGTTTCCAAGATGGAGCTATAGCGCACATATATTGCTGTGGTATGTTTTTAATTCTTCTGGGAAAATACCCAGAAGGGGAATAGCTGGGTTAAGTGGGACCTCTAATCTTAGTTTTGTGAGGAATCTCCAAACTGATTTCCACAGTGGTTTCATCAATCTATACTCCCGCCAACAATGGAGTAGGGATCCTTTTTCCCCACAGCCCCACCAGCATTTGTTACTGGTTGATTCCTTGATAGCCATTTTTTCTGGGGTGAGATGGAATCTCAGTGTTGTTTTAATTTGCATTTCTCGAATGACTAATGATGTTGAACACTTTTTCATGTATTTATTCACCATTAGTATTTCTTCTGATTTAGAGTCAAAGAAAGAATTCTTTTTCTGAGATAATTGAGCAAGGTGGAAGTTGTGGGCAGGGAAAATGAGTAGGGAATCAAACAAATTTGCAAGAGAAATGTTTCAAGGTGAACCATGAAAGAAAAGCAAGGGAAGAAAAAAACTGATGTTTTGAAGAAGTTGGAAGTTATAATTAAGAGGTGTTGACCCTTGGCTGCTTCCAGAACAATTTGGTTACCACCTGAAACAAGATGTTTTGGTGAGAGCAGGGCAGAAGTGAGCCTTTAATGGTTTAAAAAAGAGGGAGGAGGAATGGAAAGGAATAATGCCCAAAACAAATGTGGAGTGTTGGCATAGAGTTCCCAGATGTTCCTCACTTCTCCCTAGAGTCCTGATTGAAAGACTGTCACTGCAGTTTCCCCTATGGTAGCTTGTACTCAAAAGAAAACCTCACCTAATATATGAGAACTGGGCCACTCAGGGTGGAAGGGGCTGTGAAACTGGAGTAAGAAGCAGCCAGACCCAGAATTGCATGATTATTTATTGGGAACTCCACGGGCAGTTGTGTGCCTGAGTTGCAGCAAGACACAAGGAAGGGTCCTACCCCTGTGCTGATCCAGACAGCGTCGGGCCATGACCAACCAGAGTGTACCAGGCCTTCTCAAAAACTGTTAACATGTCCAGTTTTACTTGAGAGCCATTCTCCGCATCAGTGGCCAGCACACCATGCTTGGCTGACTCTTCACGACTTTGTTCTGTAGGGCTTGGGATGCTTGCCACATGGTGGCAGTTACAGCCAAGATGGTTGTAGTCTAGTCAAGCTGGATCACTGTATCATGCTGGAGAAACTAAGCTGGTGAAGTAGTAGGAAAGAGAGAAGAGAATAACTGGTTTTCGTTATCCAAAAAGTAGGAATATTCCTGGTGCAGTGCAGTACAGATGTTTTCAGTTAGAAATACTTAATATAGCAAAGTGTGACATGGAATGTTTCATTTATAGTAGCCATTGTTCTCCCTTGATTTTCCCTTTGATAACACCAGAACATCCATCTCTCCAGAAAAATGTAAGAGGATGTGGCTGGAAACCATAGTTGGGATATATTTGGAATACATTTAGAAGAGATATTACAAATTGCTTTGTAGGTTACCTAACGCTTAGTTATTAATTTCCTTTTACGACTATGACAGATGACCACAAAATTAGTATGAACAGCTACAAACACACTCAGCCACTTTATCTTTGACAGAGGTCCCAAACGTTCACTGGAAGAAAGTTAACCTCTTTAATAAATGGTGCTGGAAAAACTGGCTTTGCACATGCCAAAGACTAAAACTAAACTAGACCCATGTCTGTTACCATACACTAAACTAAAGTCAAAATGGATCAAACATCTAAATATTAAAACAGAAACACTAAATCTACTGGAAGACAAAGAAGGTAGAAATCTTGAAGATGGGTAGGCAGAGAGTTCATGAACAAAAACCAAGCTGCATGGGAAATACTTCAAACAATCAACAACTGGGATCTCATCTTATTAAAAAGTTTTTGCACATCAAAAGAAATCACCAACAGTGAAAAGAACACTAATAGAGTGGGAAAAAATTTTAGCAAAGTGCCCCTCAAAGACTTCTACCTAGAACATGTAAAGAATTGAAAAAAATTAGACCCCCCAAATTCAAAAACCCAATTCAAAAATGGGCATATGAGGAAAATACACACTTCTCAGATGAAGAAATACAAATGGCAAATAAATACATGAAAAAATGTTCAGCATCTTTGGTCATTTGAGAGATGCAAATTAAAACAACATTGAGATTCTGTCTCACCCCAGAAAGAATGGCTATCATCAAGAAATCAACCAATAACAAATGCTGGCGGGGCTGTGGGGAAAAAGACCTTCTGCATTGTTGGTGGGAGTGTAGAGTGGTGCAACCACTGTAGAAATCAGTGTAGAGATTCCTTAAAAAACTAGGATTGGAGGTCCCATTTGACCCAGTTATTCCCCTTCTGGGTATTTTCCCAGAAGTATTAAAAACATCATATAACAGCAATATATATTCACCCATGTTTATAGCAGCATAATTTGTTATAGCTAAATCTTGGAAACAACCCAAATGCCCATCAACCAAGAAATGGATAAAAAAGATGTGGTATTTTTATACAATGGAGTACTATTTAGTTATAAAAAAGGATAAATTTGAGGCTTTTATAGGTCAATGGATGCCACTAGAGACCATACTCATTCATGAAATAAATCAGACTGGCATGTATAAACATTGTATTGTCTCTCTAGTGAAGAAATAAAGAGTAAATAAGATCCAAAATGTACAGTAGATACTGTGAAAGTGAAAGAAACTGCTTGAAAGGAAAAAACATTGGATTGGGGAAAGGAGAAAAGAAAAAGAAGAAAAAATATATATGCCCCCCCACACACACACACGCACGCACACAGTAGCTAATATAATTATACTACTAATTTCTAGTCATTGAAAATGGTTTGTGCTTATATTGTTTGATCAGTTTTGCATGCCTGTATCTTAAATCTGAGCAGCTACTTTGAAGATAACAACATGCAATATAATAACCATTGTTAATTTTGTATTGTTTTGAAATTCTGTATCATGTTAATTTTTTTTTCCTCTTTAAAATAAAAAAAAAATTTAGCCAGGTGTGGTGGCGTACACCTGTAATCCCAACACTCAGGAGGCTGAGGCAGGAGGATCCTTGCGAGTTCGAGACCAAGACCGGCCTAGGCTACAAAGTGAGCTCAAGGCCAGCCTGAACTACATAGTGAGATCCTGTCTCAAAAAAAAATAAAGACAAAAAAAAAAAAAAAACTAATAAATTTATTGTGTGAAACTAGAAATTAGTTATATTACAGTTGCAGGGCCATAAATCCAAAACAGATCTTACTAGGCTAAAATCAAAGCTGTTGACAGGTCTCTGTTCATTTTGGATGCTGTAAGGGAAAATCCATTACTTTACTTGCTCTAACTTCAGGAAACTGCTTGCATTCTTTGCTGTTAGCTGACTTCCTTCTTGTTTAGCAACCAGAGGTCTTTCTGTCACACTGCCATCTCTTCAATTCTCTTTCCTCTCTTCCCTAATCTTCTTAGTCATTGATACTCTCCCTTTATTAAGGGAAACTATTAACCTCAATTGACTAGTGACCTTAATCCTTTTGCACCTTTAATCCCTCTTTGTCACATCACCTAACACATTCACAGGCCCCCAGGTTCATCCTTTGGGGGCTATTCTTACTCTTACTTTGTTTAGTATGTGAATAATCACATGACCTGATCACTGAAGTGAGAAAGATACAGTAGCATTCATAGTAAAGGCCTAGAATACATTGTTCTCATTTGGGGGTTGTTGTTGTTAATTCCAGCTTTGATATATCTAACAAGCATTCCAGAAATTCTGGTTTGCAAAATAATTAATTTTAAATTACCTTTTCCTTGCAGGTTATATTTGCCGCAACTTGACAGGATCTGCTGCTTTGCTGAGTAAGTTTAATATCTTGTAGACATACTTATATTGCTTTTTATATTTTGTAATAAACATGTTTACACATAAATTGCCCTTCTTTTTTTAGCCAGAACCCATCTTAACTATGGAATCAAAGGGGATGTGGCAGTTGTTCGATTTAACTCACCCAATTCAAAGGTACCTAACTTAACTTTCTGCAGGTTATTTCTACTAACTGCATTTATTAATCCATTTCTAAATGGGAGAGAAATGCATCAATTTGGCAGTAACGTTATCACAGGAATTTATAATTTTATTAGTTAAATTAGTTAAAATTTGACACATTGCCCAGTGACGGCAGTTTTCTGAACCAGAGGTCATTGTGTAATCTTTTTACTGTAGGTGTCAGATCATTAACAAGGCTTATTAATAAGACTAGCATTCTTTTACAGTGTAAAATGGGGACAGACTTATTAGACAAGAACCAAAGTACACGCTTTCTTTATAAAAATCAAAACCTGCCTGCCCCTCTTAAATATGAGGTTATTAAATCTACTTTTTTCATTACCTACATGACTAAATCATTATTCATAGTAAATTGCCTCGGTTAGATGTGGACATTTGGCTTTTAAGCTTTCTGCGGGATCTGAATGACTGTGCAACTGATAAATTGGAAGTCAAGTTCCGCTCAAATTAGAACTTTGTTTTTGGTAACTTCAGCAAAGCATGGAACATTACTCCAGTTTTTTACCAGAAAGAGCTTTATTGCAGGAGCCTCTGCTTTTGTCCATCTCAAATTGAGGTAGAGATTTCTTACTTTAAAAATCTTGTAATTAGAAGCCTAGATGAAATAGGAGGACCTAGAGTGAAGCAGTTGACAATTCTAACAAGCTAAAAACAGTAAGAGTAGATCTAGATCACTAGGATAAATCTTGGCAACCACTGACCAGTGGTTCAAGCTTAAGGTATTTTTTTTTTTTTTTTTTTCAGAATTTTCTCAAATTAAAATCTCCCTGAACGCAATAATACCTGTCAGTGGGGAAAAAAAATTAAAACAAAAAATTAAGAAGAAAATAATGATCATTCATAATCCAGACCCAAAGATAACAAC